AATTAATTTAATTAACAAGCTAGATATTTAACTTACAAATTAATTTAGTTAACAAGCTAAATATTTAACTTACAAATTAATTTAGTTAACAAGCTAAATATTTAACTTACAAATTAATTTAGTTAACAAACTAAATATTTAACTTACAAATTAATTTAGTTAACAAGTTAAATATTTAACTTACAAATTAAATATTTAGTTAACAAGCTAAATATTTAACTTACAAATTAATTTAGTTAACAAGTTAAATATTTAACTTACAAATTAAATATTTAGTTAACAAAGTAAATATTTAACTTACAAATTAAATATTTAGTTAACAAATTAAATATTTAAATTACAAATTAAATATTTAGTTAACAAACTAAATATTTAACTTACAAATTAAATATTTAGTTAACAAAATATTTAGTTAACAAATTAAAGATTTAACTTGTGACTTAAATATTTATTTAGTTTTGAGCTAAATATTTAGTTTGAAACTTAAATATTTAGGTAGTCATCTAAATATTTAAGTTTCAAGCTACTCTTTACTCAGTTTATCCAGCTGTTATATTCTGATGACATCATCTAGGCTCCATGGTTTTGTGTTTGGAAATAACAATAATCTGAGTTTATTGATTTTGTGCTATAAGAGCGTAAGCTGGATGAAGATGAGAAACCTCTGATGGTCCAACTGAGCTGGAAGTCAGACGGTAGAGAAGGACGCTTTKTGCTGAAGGAAGATCCAGAGGTGAGAACCAAACTTTAACCAGACGTGAACCTTCATGTATGATCACACATGAAACCTGCTGCGTTTGTCTGTCAGGAGAGAGAGAAAGGAGGCGTTCTTCAAACCTTTAAGAGAACTCTGTCACGGAAAGGAAAGAAAGAGAAGAACCCAGCAGGGGAGGAGAACGGGTTGAATCTGCAAACCTCCCAACTACAACAAGACCTGAACACCACCGAGCTGAAGGCTCAGAATCAAAGCAGCTCCTCTGAAACCAGCAGCTTTGGTTCGTCCGACTTTAGATCTCATAAAACTGATCCACAGCAGAGCCAGACTCTGGAGGGTGAGTGATAAAACCAAACTGTGGTGTGGTAATAGCTGAGACTGAGCCAGGGGTGTCCAGGACCACCATCCTGCTCCAACACACCTGCTCTGGATGATTAACGGGCTCCTGCAGAACCTGAAGAGGTCAGTCACTGACTCAGGTGTGTTGGAGCAGGGAAACTGGTAAAACGTACATGATGGTGGTCTTCCAGGACCAGGACTGGATCCCACTGGTCTGAGCTCTAATTGTGTGAAATCTGTCTTTAAAACTTTGTCATTCTCTAACAAAATATATCTGGTATACGGAAGAGGATTAGGGCCACTGAAAAAATAAAAAAAGGAATTCTGATTTTAATCTCAGAATTATGACTTTTTTCTCATAATTCTGAGGAAAAAGTCATAATTCTGGGATTAAAGTCAGAATTCCTTTTTTTATTTTTTCAGTGGCCCTAATCCTCTTCCGTACTGCCAAGACTGGATAGATTTTAATAAATTTTTCCCGAGCTGACGTCTAAAATCGCTTCATTTTTGGAGTCAGTCCAATTCAAGATGTCCGCCACAGCTAACTGGTAAAGACTGAAACAAAATGGAAATAGCGCTCTCAGTTTTATGGACACTGAGCTAAAATTCAGTGTGGTAGAAGCTGAGAGTCACTGTGAGAACTAACAGATCATAATAAGACTTTATCATTGAAGCTGAGAGCGAACGTTTTCCACACATACCTTTTCTTCTTGAGATAACGAGTTAATTATGTTGTTTAATGAAATAATGAGATGATCAGTTTCTCAGTGTTCTTAAAACCTTGCCAAGGACAAACTCAAGCTGAAAATGTCAGATCATGGAGAACCTGGCACTGATCACAGGCTGAAACTGCAATTTGTTTGTGTTGTACAGATAACTTTCATATCAGCCCTCTTCTCTTAAAGGGCCAATATTATGTGTTCCTCAGGCATATATTTAAATACTATATCATAATAAAGTATCTATGTCACCCTTAGTTGTTATTAAAATGCTGTTTTTATGTTTAAATAGAAAATAAACTTATCTTCTCATCACTTCCTCTTCTAAATGCCTTGAAATTGGCCTCTGTCTCTTTAAGAACCTCCTGCTGCTTCTGTCCCGTCCCTGTCACCGAGGTACACTTCGCTGCAGCATGCAGAACGGGGCAGTGACAGACCTTTCCATCAGTCCCATACC